TGTATGGGAGCAGTTAATTATTGGAAAATAAATTGCACGCGGAATTTCCGCCTCTGGTTACAGGAGACTTAATAACTTGCGGTAAAACAAATGCCAAGGTGGATGTTAAGGGAGGGGGGGGGCGGTGGGAGGGCGGGGGGGTGTTGTTTAATCCTCAACACGCCTCTCCCTGTACGCCTGCCCTTCAACAGTAACAGGTATTAACGGTGCTTCTTTTTTTTGTATTTGCCAGCATCGCTCATGAAAGCCGCCTGCGTGCTAAGTCCGAACAACCAATTGTATGCACGGGGGCATTACATATTCATTATAACACGTTTCCCTAACTTTGAGAACAAATGATCCGTTTTTTATGAAAATAATAGTTGCCGTTATATTATTAAAAAAAAAACTGATTTGGTTTGGATGCGATAGAAAATCCTTCCATTTACGTTTTTTTTTCATGTTTTCCAATACGTTCGGTTCTCTTTGCTGGCGAAATTGCTAATTTCCGCACCTTATGTCAAAGGATTAGAGTTATTATTTTTTTCAATCCACTGGGGTTTTTTCCCTCTAATTCAGACCAGATGTGACTGTCACTGAAGGTGATTTAAGTGTATGCAGCGGAGATCCAATCAGAGGGAGGGCGAGATGCAGGAGCGAGGGAGGGGAGGGAGGGGGAGGATTGTGGAGAGGAGGGGAGGGAGGTGCAGCCATTGCTGGAAGTCTATATGATCATACGGTCCCATTATTGATTCACTTTTCACTCAATTCTCTTCCCCCCACGGTACGTGCCTTGTCCGACAACCACTTCCTTTCTGCTCTCTCCCTTTCTTTTCCTTCTTCCTCTATTGTCTCCTATTCTACCCCCCCCCTGATTGTTTAGCGCTCTCTCTCTCTCTCCCTCTCTCTCTGTTTCCTAGATGACAGCCAGGGAATACAGCAGGATGTGCATTAACCCTCGTGTCTCTCTGTACGTTACGTTACGTGTTACTGAAAAGCTTAAATCAATTATTTTAAGAATAAAAACGTGGGGTCTGACAGGGAGGGAGAGTGAGAGATGTGAAACAACACTAAGAGACGCTGGCAGGAAACGTGTACAATTCCAAACTCATTAATGATGACCAAAAACCCATGTTTAGGTGGAGCGTAAATTGGTACGTCACATCGCATCTCAAACATTCGGAGTGGTCCCCAGTGGCAGCTGTCTCGATGCAGTACAAAGTGATTCAGCCGCTGGTCTGCGATTGGGTGGTAGTCTGGCAGTAGGTTGGGGGGGGGGTCTCAATGATCGCTCTATGTTCAATACTATTTGAGTGATTTTCGAAGACCGTATAAAATTTGTAAAAATGTGGACCCTGATGCCAGACCACAAAAGGACTAATCTTTACAAAGTACGTCACGGGGATCTGTATCTTCCACCACGAAGCGGACGGGGGCGTAGATGATCGTGGTCAATAAACCCGCAGTATTGAATGATAACCAGGGCGGTCTGTCGGTGTCGAACAGCTCGGCTTCGTCACCGCCCCTAAACCGACGAAGCCCAACAGATATGTGTAGGAAGGGTTCGCCTTGTCCTGTCTATAGACTCGCACCCAACCAAACCAATACGGAATTCCCATCCACGGGATCAGGAGTTCGAACATGATATGGGCACCATCACCTCAATGCACTGTTCGAGAAAGAAATCACTTCTTTTTTTTAACGTTGATCATTAATTGACCAGGGGCGGTGTACTTGATTTGAACCGCGAACATCTGCTACCAATCGGCAAAAAGCGCTCCCACCGCTCGGCCATATCGGAACGAGGGTGCAGAGGAGGATGTGGGCGTTGTTTGACGTGTGGGATTGTCGGGGGGAGGGCGGGGGGGTTGGAGACTCGAGGAGGGTTGGGGGGTGTGTGTGGGGTGGGGGGGTAGAGAAAACATGTTTGGAAATGTACGGTTCACGTGGCGACGTCGTTCAGCATGACTTGCCGCCGAACGCGGACGAGCGAGCGCACGTGTGCACCTGAGCGGCTCGCGAGTCGGACTGACGCGCACCTCTGCAGCGTCAACGCGCTCAACTCTCAGCGCTCCTCTTTTTTTTTTCCAAGTGGCGCGAGGCGAGGGGCCCTTGCCACAGCGCTCATTGTTCTTTCATGCCCTCGTGTTAAATTAATGGGCGTCTTTAAAAGAACCTGACAACTCTTATCACCCCAGCGCATCGTGCCCCGGTACCAAGGCGGTTGGACATCGTGCGCCCCCCTCTCTCAAACCCCGCCCCCCTTACACGCTCCACCAAAGTGCTGGCGGTGTCGTCCCCGTTCCTCGGGCGAGCCAACACCGCCCCCTCCCTCGCCGGTGGCCGCTGTAGCACGGCGCATTGCGTCGCTCTGGCGCGCCAGGCCGTTCGCATGGATCAGGCGGTGAGAGTGGTCCGATGGGTCAGACGCTCAAGCCAACGATGCTCAGAACCCGAGTTGTGAGGTGACGATGGTCTCAGCTCGACTGGACACACAAATATATGATAGACGGGTGGAGGCTTAAAATGTTAACACTTTCGTCCGCCTCCTAATCATTCTCTCTCATTCTGTGCTGCTGCTTTCCTGCGTCCCGTACATTACAGATGGGGGGCATTGCGGCTGCGTGCGTGTGTGCCAGTAATTCAGTGCGGATTCATATTACTTTTTCTGTTTTGCTGTGTTGTTGTTGTAATTATCAAACTAATATCAACAAGAATGTACACCTCCAGTTTCCTGGCTAGCCGTTGGCTGGGCTCCTCCCCCACTCCCAACACCGACTCCGTTGTTCGTGGCCGCTGGCCATTGCCACCAAAACTAGCTGGGTAACTGGCTATAGGGGATATATGATACACATCTGATTGAATTGAAACGGCGGACGAATTCCGGAAGATCTTTAACAGACAGCGACACCGACAATGTGGGAGTAACGAATACATTCGACTGATAAGGCTCATTTACAATTGCTCTATATTTTAAATTTTGTCTCTTTTCAACATAATCCCTTGCCCAGAATAGTCTGTACATCCTAGATAATGTAAATTAAAATTAAAAAAAACTTTCACAATACACGACGTACTATTTTAAGCAGATTGCTTTCAGTGCTCCTAGTTTAGGGTTGTGAACAAAGTGTGAAAATGGCAGCTGACTCTGAAATATCCCATTTGCTGGGCACGTCAATGATAATAGGACGAGAGGGCAGCCCATCCTATTAGATGGCATGTGACACCCACCTGACCCTCTTCAGACATTAGCCACTCAACTGACATCTCGCGAGTCATCAACTCACCTGACCCCCCCTCCCCCCATTCACAAGTTGATGCAAGACAGTGGAAGTGGGAAGCCATAAAGGCCCAAGGGCCCCCCTTGTAAACAAACCCATCTCCATTGGCACACGACCATCCGTTGCGTGACTTTGAAACGACCCCCGCATCACGTGCCGGGCTGTTGTAATGCCAAGGGCTGATTCGCTGAAGAATTACAATAACAATTTACATTCGTGGGGCACATTTTATCCCTAGATCCGAATGCGCCACGTATGGCAAGCACGAAAATAAACAGAACATGCAGGGAAAACGGCCAGAACTAGGGGCTAAAGGCCAGCTTAAAAGAGATGAGTTTTCAAGACAGACTTAAATATATCTAACCACTCTGATTGTCTTATTAGCAAAGAAAAAGCGTTCTTCAGCTTGGCAGCTGCGCTGGCAAAGCTCGATCACCCCTGCGGGAAATGATTGGGTGAATGGTCAACGGGTTGTTTGCTGCTATTTCGTCATTGCAACCTCATTTGCATGAACCAAACATCACACGCTTTGAATGGATCCTCGTCGATGGCACTGGTGAAATGGTGTGTAGAGGAGGAGATGCCGGACGTACGGCAGTGGTTTAGATACCGGGCGAGATGCTCGGGATAGTGATAGTATTACAAAACTAATGGCAGCTTGCAACAAGAGGCTCGGTGATCGCTCACTCTCGAATCAAGAGGCGCGCGATGAACCGAGCAACCACAGACAAGTTCGGAAAGGCAGTGAGTCGGCGCCAAACTCCACCACCTCTCCTGCTCCTCCACCCCCAAGCTCTGCGGTCCTCTATATATGACGGTGCTAACGGTGCCGATCAATGAGTGTTCGTATATGGGAGGAATCAGGAGCACCTGGAGAAAGCCGCACGCGAGCTCCCTGGTGAAGAGATTGATGGCGGGAGGTTGGGAAAGGAAAACCAATATGCTTTTGAGAGCGGCCGAGGAAATTACTGTCGCCCTCCGAGCTGCCAGCTCAGCATCGCTGCGCGCAAACCGAGTGTGAAATGTCTGCGCATCTGGCCTCCCGTCCGCGGGTCGGGCAGGTTGCACTCAATAACGCGTCTCCCTCAACACGAACCAGCAATTAGCTCATTTCGCGTCCACCAGAGTACGGGCGCCGGGCGAACGCAGGGAACCGCGAGTCCGCTTTGATTACAATCTCTCCGCTGAGCGTTACTCTCTGCAGGCGAAGGCGCCCCGCGAGCATCCGCGTGCACGCGTCCGCGACATTTCCCGCCCGGTGGCTTAAAAATATCCCACGCGGAGCCGCAGATAGATATTCTGGTGCAATATTCCAGCCATCCTCGAACTCCCCAAGCCCCCTCCTGCCCCATACCCCCCCCCCACCCCATAGCCCCCACCCGGGCCTGCCCCCCACCGACCAAACACTCTCACGGGGAACGCCCCCCGCCGCCCTTGCCGCCCTTGCGACGGCACTGACGCTTGGTGCCACGCAGGGGAAAGCTGCCACTAGAAGATGCCCCTTGGCTATAATGCGGCCAGGGCATTGTGGTGGTTGTGAAGAAGCTGTGAGAATGCTACGTCATTACGGTGCATTGAGAGTTGCCGAGTCGTTTAAGCAAGCCGCCCTATCAATGCGAATTCGCATCCACGCGCGCGTGTGCGTGTGTACCGTGCCGACTTTCACAGGTGCTCGCAAGCAGCACTCGCCACAACAGTCTGTGAAGCCTATCCTCTGTCTTTGTATGTGTGCGCGCGCAGGTACTTTATCCCTGTTCTACACCGGTCCGATGCCGGCTTCTACCAGTGCGCCGTTCGGAACCGACAGGGAACGCTGATGCAGCGCAGGACGGAGGTGCAGGTGGCATGTAAGTGACGGAGGGCACGCAACATACTCCCCGCACGTAAAACACCCGACCCCCCTGTTTGGGCAACTTGTTGTTGCAAGTGCTGTGAGTGAGCACTTCTTAAGGTCGGGACGGCATACCAGGAGGTCACTCCAAAGACAAACGCACACACACACACGTGCATGTCACTGATGTATGTCATTACATGCACAGACACAACGACCACCGCCATTCGTCAACAAGTGGTGGTGATGTCACCACGGCGCTTGTGCCAGGCTAAGTGCACTTTAAGGCAACGTGAAGTGTCGACACACACACACAAGACACCAGCCATGGCATTATACTGTTAGGGCAAGTGTTGTTAGCGAACACCTAAAACCAGGCCACCATTGTGTCCCCAGTTCTGATGTTTACCACTGTATCAGGTACTAATTTAAGGCAGAGTTGACCTAGGGCAGGCTCAGGATTCAGTTCAAAATTGTGCCACTGGTACAGTATTAAGCGTGAGTGGGAATCGGACTCCGGTCGGCTGCCGCGTTCGGAGCGCAGTGCAGCCACCGCTCCCCAAACGCACAAAGATGCTGACATGAACAGACACACACGGGGGCAATCCTTTTCTCTTAAATCCCTGAACAGAATGCCGAAGCTACAAATCCAACACCTGTGTTTTCGGCGGTCGGTCGTAATGAGCCCACTCCCGGCTCAACTGAGAAAAATGAAAAGACACAGAAGAAAGAAAGAAAGATCGCTGTGGTCGTTTTTTTTTTTTCAGAGGCCCTGTTTGCTTCCCCTTAAACAAATGTTATGAAGTGACAGTTCCCCCCCTAGTGAGTCATCTATCATAGCTAGAGGTGAGCACACGGCACGTATTGCCTCTAACACCCGACGCCAATTTCTATAAAAATGTAACAAAAGGTAAAAGTGCGGCTCGCATCGCAACCCTCTCTCTCACGCTCCAAAGAGTCCATCCACAGGGTATTTAGTCTATTCTTCCACGCTAATCAGACGCATTGGTGGAGGGTGGGAGCGCTCTCTCTTTACGCCACACTGCATGCAAGACCTGCCGATAGAGTGACTGTGCATTGCCGACTTGAACTGCTGGGTGGACAGGGATGAGTGGGTTTAATAAAATTGCACCATTATTTAATTACTTATTTAGCGAGGAAAGCTGCAATTAGTCCAAATACTTTTTTTTTGCATAGTCCTTCATTGAGACATTTCTCCAACACTTTGCATTGCACGTTTTTTTTACCTACGTCTGCATACATGTTAAACTTATTTCGCACCGTACAGAGCCAACCATGCTAAACGGGGGTGCTGTTACCTGTGGGAGGAAAGCGGAGAAGCCGGAGGAACCCATGCAGCAACTGGAAAGAGAATATGCAAACTCTACGCAGAAAGGCGCCCGAGTCGGGAATCGAACCCAGGTTCCTCCTAGCTGCGAGGCGTGAGCATTACCGCTGTGCGACCACCATTCCGCCCCAAATCTAAACTGCCGCACCGGCAGATTAAATCGAACCGGCGACCTCGGGATTGCGAGTCCCAGCGCGCTGTGACCATTAAATGAAACGCGCTAAATGTATCATTCTGATGGAGCACATTACACGTGACGAGACATGGCTGATGACGACGATGACGACGATGTTATTAACTTTTACTTGCATTGGTCAGGAAACCAATGGCGTAGTGTGGTTGGCATTGGCGCTGCTGCAAGGCATTGGTCGCAAAGGCAGTGGCGTAGGGTGGCTGGCGTTGGCGCTGGTGCAAGGTACCAAAACGTCCTGGCCAACCTCTCATCCGCTTCGTGGCAAAGCGCAAGGGCCACTCTGGCTGGCCTCGTGGGTCCCCGGTGCAGTTGCAGACCCTGCGCACTAAATAGCTACGCAGATGCACGCAGGCTCTTTAAGCCAGCACGCGGGGGACAGGCGATTACAGTGACAAGATTCAATTACCCCTCGTGGAAGTTAGAGTCTGCCAATTTGGAAATAAAAAAAAAATTGTTGTGGACTTTCACCTGCATGAGATATATACACGCTTGTTGGACCAGCTCTGTCGAATATTAAAACGTAAATCCAATGCCACGCTACGAGACTTAACATTCGACCATTAAAAAAAAAATAAGCCTTCAAGTGCCTTTAGTGCCCTCGTGCCAAATCCCTCTCTCGTAAAAAAAATAAGGAGGGGGGGACGCGCTTACTGGCAAGCCTGCAATTGCGGAGAGAAAGCGAATTCACTTCTAAACGCCATTCATCACGAGCTACTAACACGGCCTAATGGCGTGACATCCAGGGAGCGCGCCTAATAAACGCCCCGCGTAATCGTCTGCCGTGTGGGAGAAAAATAAATATTGAACTCTTACTTTTTATGAACAAAATAAAAATGTGCTTGTGTCTTCTGCACACACCCCCCCCCGCCTCCATTCGCTCAGTGTGGCCCTGCTATCGTCTTCGTATAAATTTATCCGCTGCAAGATGTTTAGTGGCTTTCATTAAATTACGAAAATTGCGTGGAGCAATCGCGGCATATTGTAACGACATCGCCAAGTGCAATTAGCGTGCGGTGTAATATTATTTCGTGCACGTTATCTGCGGTGGGGTAACAAATGGGTTTTAGGTTGCGTTAGGAACTGCATTAGCCATAAGTATCACGCGGTCCCCTTCGCTATTCCATCATTCCTCAACGATTAATCAGCAGAGTTTCACTACGAGCGTCATTTATTGTCTCCTTCAATGAGCTATTTGTGAGAGGCGCAAACGTGCAGGCTTTACAACAACAATAACAACAACAAAAATGCAATGTTGTTGGTTATTATTTTTGGAGGACGTTGAATTTATTGCAAATACAACAACCAACCTCCAAGGTGTGGTCTTCAGTTGCCGCGTCCTTCAAGGGTCACGCTCGCAGTCCCACCATCACCACCACCGTCTCCACCACCATCACCACCATCACCACCACCATCACCACCACCATCACCACCACCGTCTCCACCACCATCACCACCACCATCACCACCATCACCACCATCACTGTCACCACCACCGTCACCACCACCGTCTCCACCACCATCACCACCAACACCGTCACCACCACCGTCTCCACCACCATCACCACCACAATCACCACCACCAGCACCACCATCATCACCACCATCACCACCACCATCACCACCACCACCGTCACCACCACCATCACCACCACCATCACCACCACCACCAGCACCACCATCACCACCACCACCATCGTCACCACCACCGTCACCACCGCTAAACCTGAGGGCTCCCTTTTGATTCCCTACCTGGGTGCCACTCCAATGCCCTGCACATGCGTCGCACCCATCACACTCTCCCCCCCCCCCACCCCCCGAATTACAGGATTGCATCTGCAATGTCACATTTCATTCCGAACCACCGAGTTGTTTACAACATCCTACTCCACTCTGCACGTATGTTCCTTCTCTTCCTGATCACACCTACAACCCTTTCCTGCCACATTATCTTCAAAACCATACAACTCCCATCACCACATCGTGCAATGATATTCATAATCATCCTCCAAGCGTGCTAATATTTTAAAATGCCAGAACCTTCGCTTGTCGTTAACAGCAGGGCGGCTGATTGGGTAATGAGGCAACGTCTGGGAAGCCCACTCGAGTGAGAATCACTTGGTCACTGACACAGGCGTAGTCACAGTGACACTGATCGTCAGACTCACAAGGTTCATTTCATCGCCTGTCTCACAACTGTCCTCATAGCCGCGTTCACAGTCACGGTGACAGATGCCCTAACAGGCACTGTCACAACGACATCTCACGATGACTCTGGGGAGAGCATGGCATTGATGACTTTCACCCTCACAGTCAAGATCCCAGCCATTCTCACTGGCGACCTCATGGCCACACTCATAGCAATGCAGCCACCTTGCCATCTCATTGGAACACTTACGGCCACCCGCTGCAGTAGCTTTTCGCACAGTCGCCCGAATTATCACATTAATAGCCGTACCGACAGCTGCTCTCGCAGACGCTCCAATAGACGAGCTCTTGCGTTACACGCGTGCCCATCGTCGTGGTCACGCGGCCACCCTTGGCGGCTGCCCTCATTAGCCACTCGTGTAGTCAATGTCACAACCAAACTGATAATTACACTCACAGCCGCCCGCATAGGAATACGCATAAGTACCCCTGGTAGTCAGAGTTGCAGGCACACTCATAGCCGTACTACTAACTACACAGTTCTAGCCATGCTGAGCGCACCGGTGAATAATTGAATGCACGTGTGTGCTTGTGTATTTGACAACTTACTAACAGTCTGGCGTGGTTCCGGCCACACCTAACAGCACTTGCCCAAACAGTCTGTTAAAGGCTAGACGGGGGGGGCTGGTGGGGGGGGGGGAAGATTTTTATCCCGTGCCTCTGTGCATCTCTGCGTTCTGTGTTGTTGCTGCTGTTGTCGTTGCGCGTGCAGACCTGGGAGACTTTGCCGAGTCGGCGGAGCGGCGGCTGAGCGTTCCGCGAGGGGGGGCGGTCGTCATCGAGGCCCCGCGCGTCGGCTGCTTCCCCACGCCGCAGGTTACCTGGCTGCGGGAGGGTCGCAAGGTGTCCCCCAGCCCCCGCGTGTGAGTTCCCACGCGGGCGCCGCCGACACTGCGAACACGATGTTAAATAATAATAATAACAACAACAATAATACTCATCATCATGTACGCGTGTATGTACGTGGGGAGCGGTGGTGTAGCGGTTAGCGCGCTGCGCTATTAACCCGGCGACCCGGGTTCGATTCCTGCTCACGGCCAACACCGGTGACGATTATTTGAACCGGTCCTGGGCCTCCTCTAGGTCGACTCAGCCTCAAATGAGTACCTGGTGCGATTTGTAAACGTCGCCACTGGGGAGACAAAGGCGGTCGGGTGAGGTGCTGCCCACCCACCCGTTCGTGTAACGTTCTGGCCTTCATAGGTGCTCGCAAACAGCACTTGCCCCTACAATATTTTAAGGCTATACGGGGAATCTTTGTCTTTGTTTTTGTTGAACTTCCTTCGCACCGTACCGAGCCAACCGTGCTGATCGGAGGTGTGGGGCAAGGACAACATGTTAAACACACAAAAAAACAGTTGCAAAGAAATTAGTTTTCAATCTAGATTTAAACGCGCATAGCTCCAGTGGTTTCCGATTACGGGGACCGTCTTTGTTCGATCGGTAACCGAAAGTAAGACTGGAGTTCGCGTGATGGTTTCATGCTCTTTGACGAGATCATCAAGGCTACACCATAACGGGGAAGGGCAGTAGGATGAAGGATGCAATGCGTGGCAAAATATAAATTGATAGGGAAGAGGAGAGAGAACAGCAAGTATGGGAAATAAGAGAAAAGGGGATGGGACAGGAACGCAAGATGGGACGCGGGACAGAAATCTCCAAGACGGACAAAGAGGGCATGGCTCAAGACGAGAAGTTTATGAGACGAGAGGGAAGAGAGAGACGGAAGGAGCGAGCAGAAGTGAACTGCACGGAGGAGCAGCGTCTGTTTTCAGGCGGCGGTGGGGAGAGGGAAGGGATTGAGAGTGTGCGTGGCCACACCGAAGTCGCGTGATGTACGGGAGGCTTGGGCTGATATTAGATGTATATATTCATGCAAGCAATCATATCAGCCGTCTCCGTGTTGGCGTCCTGAAAAAAAAAATCGCATCCGCATCAGACATACAGCATCAAGTATGCCTGTCACTCTGGCTATTGGTCACGTGTCACCTAAACCCTGTGTAGGTGACATAATGCTCATGTACGGCCATGGTGCCAAACCGCAACTTTTGGGACATCCTACCCACGGTCGTATCGGTCATGGGGCTTATTTGAACATACTTCACTACGCTCGTCAGCGCGGGTTATTGAAGGGGATGGGGGGGGGTGGGGGAGGAAGACCGGACGAGTTCACATTCGGGCCATGGCCGAGACTCTTACACTACTGTGGATGCACGGCGCAGTTCGCTGACACCTTTCCAACGCCATTCCACCGGCACGTGAAGCAATAACACGAAGCAAACCCACGTGCAATACCTGGATCTACTGTCACGGCCCGATTTTAATTATTAAATGCCGAATAAAAAGGATCGATGGAGAGCAGTTTGAAAGAAAGAAACTCTGCAGGAGACTCGATTGCGTTTTCTGGATCATTGCCGATAAATGTTTTAAAGAGCTGCCACTATACCTTGACGAGTGGAAAGTTTTAACCTACATTTGGTGTATGTGTGTGTGTGTGCACTTGTGGGGAGTGGTGGCATAGCGGTTAATGCACCGCGTTACGAACCCTGTGACCGGGTTTCAATTGCGCTCACGACCAATATCAGTGACGAATATTTGAACTGGTGCCGGGCCCTCTCCCCTAGGTCGACTCAGCCTGACATGAGTAACCTGGATCCAAGGTAGCCGGTCACTCTTCCGGCCTTCGTAGGTGCTCGCAAAAAAATGGACTAGTCCCACTGGTCTGTTCATGGATGTGCGTTACCGTGGGCGTGGGTCCAACCTCCCTCCCGCTGGCGACGCTCACTCATTCCTCGTTCGTTCCCTCTGCACGGTCGCGGAAACACCCGCGGTCCAGATCGCTCTCTCGGTTCCGTGCCGGGGTGGGGGCTCGCCCTCCCCCCCCCCCCCATTGCGCGTGATGGGGGTCGCAGCGCCGAGCTGGAGACCACAGAGCGTCACCGCCACCCCCCCCCCCCCGCCCCCCAAAAGAGTACGGCACTTGCAATTGCCGCCGAGACATTAAAAAAAAAAAACATAATTTTCTCTTCCAATTACTGTCCGCCAAACACCATCATGGGGTCACGTGAGGTTAAATAAACCCCTCCATCCCCTTCCTGCTTGCAGAGAGACACCCCCACCACCACCACCACCAAACATGACAATAGGCGCAATGCTGCACTATTGACCATTAAGCCCTCAATTATATAAAAAAACAAGTGTCCTCGAAAAAAAATGAACCCGACTTGGCCTTTTCGGAAATTCCTAACAATCGCAGGGAGAATTTTTTGCATTTTTAACCTTTGGTGCGGCGGCGGCGGTGGGGGCCGCGCGAGCGCTGGTCGCAGGCGTCCGTGTACCGGCTCCGGCGGTGCACCGCTCGCCTTTGTTCGTGCCGAGCCTGAAAACGTTGTTCGGAGGGGCTCGGAGAGATCTGCGTTGAATGGGGCGGATGCCTCCCATGGTTTGAGCGAGCCAATGCATAAATACAGGTGGCTCGGGGGTGAAAGCGGTAAGCCGGCACCGCCGAGCAACTGGGTTCCAAACCGGGTTCCTAAGTGCAGTGGGTTGATGATGGTCCCAGCACGGTCGTGATTGACCACGCGAGGAAGCCATCACGCCAAATATTCTGTTTAGTTTGTTATCCTGCCCTTTACCCCCCACCGCAACTCCGATTTGCATTGTTGGCTGCGTACGATGCGAACAAAGTTCAGCATACATACGTACAACTGTGGTTGTGCACTTAATTTGGAAAGATGTCTGCTCTGGGAATTAAAATATCGGTTTTTGCGGTCAAGCGGCAGGGCGGGTGGCAACGTGCTTCCCGTCGTCTGTGGGCCAGAGGTCGCTTGCAGGAATCACAGAGGGGTCGCTCCGTGATTATCAGCTTCTGTCGGCCGTTCTCCAACACGAAGGGCCGATGCACTGCTTCATGCGAGAGATCCGAACGGTGTCTTCGTCTTGTGGTACGACGACGAGAGCGTCAATTGGAATCAAATTGCGAACAGAAATGACCCCTAATGAAGTCAACGGAACATCAAGCATTGTGCTGTTTGTCGACGCAGCCAATATTCCCTGGGCTAGGATCCACACCACGCTCTTGATCATTTAAATGAAAACCTCATTTGACTCGCAGTAAATTACAGCTGTGGAAAAAAATATATCGAAATGGGAAATATTATTCTCAATTACATGCTGAAAATGGGATTTATAAGTAAAATAATATATACATATTTTAGATCCATCTCGTTATAACATGCTTGCGTTAACGGGCTGTATTCCCTCCAAATGTAAACTAACCCCGAGTCGTGCTGCCGTTTGGTGGCAGCTTCCGCTCACATTGTGGAAGGGCCTCTGAATAAATCGCCACCGCTTGGCCTCTCTCATGCCTCTGAATGAGGCTGGGCTAAGAGTGCGGCGACCTGTCATCAAGCACGCACGCAACTTTTGCCCGATGTCGTCGGGAATCATCCGAAGCGAGCAATTCGCGACTGATCGCATTACGCGGGACGCGCCCACCTAAATCCTCGGGTGAATCTCCACCAGAAAGAGAGAGAGAGAGCGGGCAGGCGAAGGAGGGTGGCCATTCAGAATTTTTTCTCCCACAATTCCACACTGCGCAAGGAAACGCTGCCCCTCGGCGCTGAACTTGCGATCCAGAGGGCGCCGGTTAGATTCCATGTCCCGACGCGGTAGTTAGGACGCCACGGTGGCGAGATGTTAGCTACCTCGCCTGGTATACAGGACGCCGTAGGTTCGATCCCAACCCTGACGCCTGTGTATTTGGAGTGTGCATGTTCTCCCTGTGGTCGCGTGGATTTTCCCCCGAGTCCTCCGATTCATCGCTGCACGTTTAGAAGCGCAGTCGTTTAGAGTATTTGGCTGCTATACATTTCCGCGTAGTAAGCCACTTCGTTGAGCTGTCATTTGTGGCCAGGTGACTTCTGAAAAAGAGCTGTATCGCTCAATGGGCCTTACAATGGTGAAATAAAAAAATAGTTTCGTTCAAATAATGTAGTCGTTGAAACGACAGTGCACGTTTCGTAGAATCCCCCAAACCCCACCTGTGTGCACCCAGCACTATCAATGGGTTCACCAGAGTTAGTCCATTGGGTAGGTCGTGTGCGTGTCTGGGTAAAATCGGGGTCCTCCCACCTTTTGCGAAACTGGCCAGCTTGGACGAAAAGGTCGCGCATACCCTCTAGATGGGGGGGGGGGGGGGTGACTTGAGCTCTCTCTCTCGTGTCAGGGGTTTAGAGTGCATCTTACTTTCCAGAGCGTCTCACAGTAGGGAATGGTGGTTAGCACGCTGCGCTACGAATCCAGCCACCGGAATTCGATTCGCGCTCACGGCCACCAACAGTGACGATTATCTGAACCGATCCTGGGCCTCCCCAAAGTCTACTCAGCCTCAAATGACTACCTGGTGCGGTGTTTAAACATCGCCACGAGGGAGACAAAGGTGGTCGGGCGTGGTCCTCGCCAGACACCCCTTCGTGTGCCGTGCCGGCCTTCATAGGTGCTCGCTAACAGCATTTGCCCCAAAAGTCTTTTAAGGCTATACAGGGGATCTTTGTATTTGTCTTTGTCTTATATACACAGAATACCCTTTCATAGTTGATTTAACTTTTCTGGAGGCATATTTCACCCGCTTGAGACTCCGACAAAATCCTTCCAAAACCCGCCATAAGCGCTCTCCACCTGAACAATCACGCATCAGATGCCACCCTTCTGTGGCAGCCCAGTGCGCTATGACCCCACTATAGATAATCTAGGGGTTGTCATGCTTTTAAACGGATCTGTGAAAAGACCAAATCAAGAATGGCCCTGCTGCAGATGCCCTACGCAATAATAGAACAAAATGCCGTATATATTTATTTTAAAA